GCAGCAAAACTCTTCACCCATGAGTGTGACAGCGATTGCTAGCAGCAGTGGATGAGACTGCAGATAATACCATTTTCTCAGCAGATGGCTTGGTAGGTGGCACTCTCCCTCCTAAGCTGCTCTTACAGATTTACTCCTGAGCTGCGTGCCAGCATCAAATAGATCCCTACCCATATTCCAGCCCAGCCCCTGACTGATGGATGGAGAAGAAATGTTTAACAGAACTGCTTAACAGCAGATTTGTTGGATTTCTGGTGCAGAACATAAGATGAAGAAGTGTGTGCTTGGTACCCACCACAAGTAGACAATAGCTTGCCCTACACTTGGTCATTAAATTCACATTATTACACATCCAGCGTGGTCAGGCTCCACAGCCCTGCCACTGGCAGGCTACAAATCCTTGAATTAAAGACAACTAAACCAATACTTACCAAAAAATTAGAAGCATCACTTCTCACTCCTAGTAAAGAGTGGCAACAGCATTTCAGAGCTGCACCACAGGGAGCCACAGGAGCCCAGCCAGGGCTCTCTGCAAGGGGAGCAGCCCCACGGTGCCCACAGAGCACAGCAGGTCCAGCCACAGCACACAGGGTGAGGCCAGCAATGACCAGAGCACTCCAAGTGTGCCAGTCCTGCAGCTCTGCTGGCTCAGGCAGCATTTTCCCACCTGCAGCTCCCCACACAACCCTGCTGTTGTTCCAATGTTGCAGTTCCACCTTCAGGCTCTGGGATTAAACTCTTCTCCAAGGTTCCTTGTCAAAGGCAAATCACACAGTCTGGGCTTGACAGCAGTCAGAAACATCCCACCAAGCTCAATAAAACACTGGAACAATATTCCACACAAGAATCTGTACCGAGGTCTAAGCCTTGGGCTGCTTCACTCCTCCTGATGTAACTTTCATTCCCACCTTTGAAAAACCCTGTGATCCAACTGCCCCAAACTATGATGTTATCCCAAATCCACTCTCACCCTTGTTCACGTGGATCTGTTATCCTGGCCCAGCCTCTCTGCCTGGCCCACCACATCAGGCAGAACTCTTTCTTCCCCCTGACATGAGTAACTTCTCTCTCTTTGCATCCTGCTTTGATGTCCTTGGCTTTTCCCTGCCCTGCTGCTGAGACAGTCTCTAACAGGCTGTACTTTCCCAGGCTGGAAATGTTCCCTGAAGTTCATTATCCATTTGTCAACATCTGTCCCAAGGTCAGGGGCCTTCCAAGGCAGCCAGTTCTTCCTGCTCCCTTCCCACAAAGCTCATCAGGGCTCAGCTCCAGCAAGAAAAGCATCCAGAGTCTCTTCTCAGTCCATCAAACCAGCCCTCTCCATTTAGGAGAGGCTAAAAGTAGGAATATCTTCCAGGTACAAGTTCCATGTCAGTAGAAAGTTCCCTACTGCTTTCCAGTAATTGTGTACTATTTATAGGAATTCCCTTCTGCTTTCCAAAATTTCCCTTCTGCTCTTTAGAAATTTCCCGCAGCTTTCTAAGAGCTGTGGATTTCCTTCTAGGATTTCTCCACTGCCTCATAGCAATTCCTCCCCACTTCATACAAAATTCCCTCCAGCTTCCTGGGAATTTGTAGGCAATTTTTTCAGAACTCCCATTTTGCTTTCCTTGGGTTCTCCCACAGCTTTCGAAGAATTCCATTTTCCTTTCTAAGGATTTCCCATACTTTTTCCATGACCTCCCTGTAGTTTTCTAGGACTTTCCTGTGTTTTTCTAGATATTTTCCATACCTTTCCAGGAATTTCCTGCCTCTGTGAATCTCTCACTGCTCTCTAGGCACTTCTGTCAGCTTTCAGGTGTACCCACCAGGTTGTGGCACGGTGTCAAGGGTTTTTCCATGCTGGTTGTGCTGCTGCATGTCGTGATGTGCCCAGTTGTCCTCTGGTGTCCTGCTTTGCCATATATGACAGATTTTGTCATTGGTGTGTTGACACACCTCGTTCTCATATTTTTAACTTTATAAAGCCACAGGAAAGGCTCAGGGAGTAAAAGTAAAAGGATTAATCAAAATCTGACAAAAACCTGTCAGGTCTGTTTGAAGGAGCTGTGAGAGTTGGCATGGATCTTTCATGGCAGCAATGATCCCACACAAGACATTTATAAAATAGCCACATCATAGAGGAAATGGCTTCCTAATCCCCTTGAAAGGCTGGTTTATCCCTTTAAACACAGCTTTATGTCCCTTCTAAATGCAGATTGGCTTTTCATCTTCATTCCCTTCTGTTCTTATCCAATATAACTGTGCATCTAGAGAAAGAGGAAAATTGAGTATGCATTAATTTAGCTTGGCACAGCAGAGCATGAGTAACCTGGAACTGAGTTCAAATATTGCAGATGGAGCCAAAGCATTTAAGTGATTTTGTAAGTAACACTCTATCAGCTTATATAAGAGCTTCATTACAATTTTTATTGCCAAAAAATGTTGTGTTACTTGCCTTTCTGATCAAATTTCCCAAGATAATAGTTTATTCCTTATCAGCTGAGGCTGGGAAAACAGAGTGGTGGTTTTTGATGTACTGACACAGACTCATGGAAATCACTGGCTCATTTACAGAAACAATCCTTGAACTCCCTCAGACTGTACCGATGTCCCACTCTGAAGTTTGGATGTTCTACATGAAATTAATGTGTATTACATTAGGAAATCACAGGAAATGTTGGATATACGTGGTTCACCTCACCCAGCATTCTGCTCCTGATAGCAAAACCCAGCACAGAGCCTTCACAGGCACCTCCCATCCAGGTTTGCTAATAAATGATTTGCTAACAAATCATTCCCAGAAATGTTGCTGGTTTCTTCTGGCAACCCCCTGATAACAGCCAGCTTGGTGCCAAGGCCAGCTCCTGACATCATATTCCAGAGCCAGCTGCTGAGAGCACCCCAGATCCCTGCATGTGCCTTTGGGAACATCATCAAATCATTCCCTGCTCTACAACGACTTTTTTCATGGAGCAGAAAAGTCTTGACATCTCGCACGTTTGCCTTCACGCTGACTGACTGCACTGTTTTCAACCCGGGGTTTGAAATTCCTGGTCCTGCAGTGCCACTTACTGGACATTTCTGCTCATAAAAGCATGAGCAGCAGCTCTTCATTTACTCAGTTGATTCTCAGGGCTAAATTGAAATGGAGAAAAAAACATAAAATACACCAATGTTCACTTAGGAATACAGAACAGCAAATACAGTAAAGCTTATTTTTTAAATGAGGCAGCAATTGTGGAGGGACAGAAATCCTCCTTTTCTGGTCACTGTAGGGAAGAATTTGCCCTGTAATAGTCTGGGAATTCTTCCAGGTGGAAATATGCAGATGGTCAAATTGATCCCTAGCTCAACAAACGTACATGGGAGTTTGCAGGATTTATTAATATATCCCGTGGGAAATAAGGCAACTGCAAGGAATGCTTCAAAAGGAGCTGGAGGGGGTTTATTTGATTAATCCAGACATACATTTTTAATAGAAACAAAAAACATTTTCGTGTGAAAATTAGTGCAGATGAAGAAAGACATAGAGTCCGAGGTCAGATATTCCTTGTGACTACACATGTTCACCCATTTGCTTTTCAGTTTGTAGCTCATGAGTAACTGCTGGTGATTGCTCAGAGCCATCTCGAGCCTTCTCCAGATTCATGGCAAAATATCAGATTCGTTACTCAGCAATGGGAGAAATGACTCGTCCAGTGAAAGAGAAGTTATGTAGCTGCTCCAAACCATCTGCACTGAGCACAGAGCAAACTATTAACTCATGCAGCTTTGCATGAAGTGACTCGGAGAAAGAATTTAGGTATTCATGTATCCACATTAAATACTCTGCAAGCAGAATTTCAATTGTGACATGAAGAGAAGTCCACATGTGGTTTTAAATCAGATTAACAAGTTGGTATCTTTGACATACAAGGAAATTATTACAGGCAGAACACATCAGAATGCAAACCATACAAAACAACCCCTGTTATACACAACAACAACTAATTTATTTCTCTGCACAACATCCAGCTGTTTCCATTTCCTGAACAAGGTGTTTTTCCTGCTCAGTCATTGCCATGTTTTTTAGCAACAAGTGTTATGGCCAGATACCACCACAGATGTATCCGTGTTGGATCTGTCACTGGTCATGGAGACTGGGATCTGACTGACAAGATTAAAAAGAATTAGACATTAGCAGGGAAATATATAAATTTTGCACAAATTTTGTTGTGCAGTGCAAATTTTTATTCTTTCATTATGGACTGTCACTTGATATATATGCAGCTGCAATTGTCATATTTATATCTCTAAGATTTAAGTTGTGGAGCCATGGTGGGAATAGAACAGGAGACATCTGAGATTGGATGTGGCTGTGTCAGAATGAAGGTTGACTCTTAATTTTTTATTAAAAATCATTAACTGAGTTGGTTTTCGATTAAAAACTGAAAACAAACTCCAGCATACATAATTCTATTTTATTGTATATATATATATATATATATGTATCATTTCATAGAAGTTGAGTATTAACAGAAAAGCTTTTATCAGTAAGTACAACTCCACAAACACTTGATACCTGGGTAGAGTTAGAGTCATGGCTTTTTAATATAAAATGGCTTTTTAATATAAAACTCCCATTCAGTATGAGTAAGCAATGAGCAGAGAGAGGGAGATCAGTCCTGCATCCAAAGGGTTGAAGAGTAGGATTGCTCTGCTTGCACAGCTGCCACTCCTCCACTGACCTGTGGACAGAGCAGTGATCTTACAATGGGAATTTGTAAGATCACTGGGCTGGACTTTAGATGGCATTTGCAATCTGTCTCTGTGTTATTCTGGTCCACAAAAGAGCTGAACGAGCTCAGTTTGGAGGCTGTAAGGGGCCACAGCACCACAATGTCTGCACATGTGTCCCCCTGCATCAGGGATGGGACGGGACGGGATGGGACGGGATGGGACGGGACGGGACTGCTCATCACAATTCTCCCCCTGTGCCTGCCCAGGGACAGTGTCACCCAGGACACCTGGAATTAGTGGACTCTGGGCATTAGCGAGCAGGTTGCACAGGACTGATATGAACCAAAAGGGAAACAAAAAAACAAACCAGAAGGTTTGCAATTCCAAAGTGTTTCTACTGTTGCAGCAGCCCAGCCATTCTGGGAATAACAGGAAGAGGGAAAATGACAGTGGGGAGGCCACCATTTGTCCCTGTGCCGCTTTCCTCCTCCACAGCTGCATCCAGAGCATCATTTCTGGGTGCCAGCAGCTTTGGATTGCTGAAATAGAGATGAAGACACATCCTGCCCTGAGAACTGCCTTCCCAGTGCCCACACCAGGGTTACGGGCTGGGAGCCCGGCTAGGAAGGGATGTGTGTGAGCAGAGGGTGACAGTGACATGGGATATTCCTTATCTGGCTGCTAATGCACTTTTTATCTCCTCCCTCAGGTGCCAGTGCTGTGACAAGCCTCGTACTTGAGTGAACTTCAGAGCAGCCTCCTGAGCTGTGCTGTCCTCACACATGACAATTTATTGTCCCTCATCACCAGGTTTGGGGGCTTAGTGTGGCTTGGGTTTCTGGTAATAACCCTGAAACAACAATCCCAATCCAGTGCAGCCCGGAGGAGATTGACGGGAGACCTCACCACGGTCCCTGTATGGCCCATTCGGGGTCACACTCCGGGTTGGACTCGATGATCCTCAAGGGTCCCTCACAACTCAGAATAATCCGTGATTCTGTGATTTTGGGGGCTGCAGCTTCCTCAGGAGGGGCAGCACGGATCTCTGCCCTCTGTGACCAGTGATAGGACTCGAGAGAATCGCTGGAGCTGTGTCAGGGGAGAAAATTAGGAAAAGGTTTTTCACTCAGAGGGTGGCTGGTTCCACAGGGAAGCCCAAGAGAGCTCACAAGCAGCGTTTGTCTGGCAAACGCTCTCGGCACACGGTGGGCTTGCTGCGGCTGTGAGGGGCCAGCAGTGGGACCCTCCAGCACGATCCCAGCAGGTCCCCGCCAGCACGGGATATTCCATTAAATAATTAACGGCAGTAAGTGTGCGAGCACCGCGATCCACCCCGAGCCGAGCCGGACCTCCAGGGCAGCGCGCTGAGGGAGGCGCGGGCGGCCCCGGGCGCTGCCCGCACGGCCCCTCGCCCGCCGCGCCGAGCCAGGCTCTTCCGGGCAGCGGGGCCAGCGCGGCGCGAGGCCGGCGGCCGGGTGAGTAGCGGGGCCGGGCAGTGCCCGCGGGGATGGGCTGCGGCCGGGGACGGGCGGAGGAGCCGCTGGCACTCCCCGGTGCGGTGCTGTGCTGACCAGGCAGGGACCCAGCTCCATCTGCCACCTCAGTCGCCTCCACAGGGACCCAGCCCCCGGTGTTGCTCTGTCCCCATCGCAGTGTCGCTGCCCCACGTGTCGCTCCGCAGAAGCTCAGCCCCATTTGTCACCTCTGTTACCCCTGCAGAGCCCTGATCTGTTTGTGAGCTCTTCTCCCTCCTCAGGGGTCTGCCTCCTCCAGCCCCTCCACAGGGACCAGCCCCATCTGTCACCCCAGGCCCCTCCACAGGGACCCAGCTCCCTCCGTTACCCTGCAGAGCCCCTGATCTCTTTTGTCGCCCTGTCCCCTCCACAGAGGTCCAGCCCCATGTGTCAACCCATCCCCTCCATAGGGCCTAGCGCTGTGTGCCACCCCTGTCACCTCCCCAGGGTCCCAGCCCCTTGTGCCGCCCTGTCTCTGTGGAAGCTGGATGCTGGCAGTGTGGGTTTGTCACAGCCCTCTCCTCCCTGCACACGTAACAGCTCCCAAAACCTGCCCTGGCCACTGGCTGTCCCCTGAGCAGCGCTGTCTGTGTCACAGGGATTGCGTGACAGCAGCACAGATTCCAGGCCTGCAAGAGACAAGCCTCCCTGCTGCAGGATCATCATTTCCAGGGGAGGAACACGCCAAATAACTCCAAGGTCAGACACCTGGTAGTCAGAGACAGAATTTTAAATATGAGTATTAATTTTTTTTTTAATTTTACTGAATTATAAATAATCTATTGTTATTATACTGGTGGGTGGGGTGAAGATTGGCTTTGTACCAATGTGCAATTAAAATATCACCTGGATAGAAAAAGATACATGAAACAGTGAAAAAGGGCTGTGAACACACCTGGGGTAGAGCCAAAGTAGTTTATTGGTGGGGGTTAAAACACAAGGAGCAGAAACAAGCTTGCAGCAGTCAGGACTGAAATCAGAGGTTGCACTAACCTTGGTTAGCAAAGGAGGTTTATTTTCCTGTGTGGAGATGAGGTGAACACGTGCGGCATCTCTGGACGTGCCTCGTGCAGTGGGAGAGGAGGTGGCAAAGCAAAGCTGGCAGAGCTGAGCTGGCTGCAGGGACCTCAAACATCTGGAGCTGGTTTGAATGCAGAATGATGAAATCTCTAAATCTCTGGTCAAGTTACACACCAAAGATGGCTCCTGTTTTGAGGAGAGAGCCCCAGCAGCAGGCTCATCTCGCCCAGGCTGCTGCTTTTGTTGCTAGGCTACAAGTGGGATGTACATTTATAAGCAAAAAAAAAAAAAAAAGAAAAACCAAGCATCTTGTAGTGTTGCCATGCTTTGCTTTCTCCAGCATTCCGTTTAGGATTGCAGTAGGAAAAATCATAGTGCAGACAATTTTTTTTCCCTCCCTGGTGATTTAAATAGGCATTTTACTGGTGGAAGGTGCTTTGAGAAAGAAAAACTTGGCAAGTGGCTTTAACATTTGGTGTAAGTACATTGCATCAGACTCCCAGTCATCAGCTGTGCTGCTTTTTTAAAACTGTGGCAGCAAATGCACTGCAAATGGAGGAATACCACTGCTTACAGAGCCTGATAAGTCTCACATGGGCTCTTTTGCCACCACACAAAAGTGCATTTTTCCCCAGAAAGTCTATTAGTTCATCCCATTTGAACTAATTTACTGCCATGACTGACATCCCTGGAGAAGGCCTCGTGTTCCTTTCTTTGCCAGAGCAATTAAAACATGGATTTGCCTTTCTGCTGTTGCTTTGCCAATATTTTGTAGTTTTAAAGTAGAACAAGTCACTTTTTCCTAATCAGAGGGAGGTTTATTTCCTGTGTTTTCTACTAAGCCAACATAGCAGCCCTTTGGGTGGGCATTGTGGAAAATTAGGCATTGGAAAAGAAAAATCTTGAGTTTGTTCAGACAAAGGAGCCCCAGAAAAGGAACAGTGTGTTACTTGAGGGATAAAGAGGCCTAGCAGGACTCTGGAGTATTTCTCTATCAAAGTGGCAAATGTTTCAGAAGAACTCAGCTCTGCAAAAACAAGCACCTGTGGGCACTTTGATTTACAAAGAGAAGGAAGAAACTGTTCTCCCCATTTTCTAGCAGCAGGTACTTTTTTCACCCTCAAGATTTTCCAGGCTGCATCTCATTTCCCATAACAAGACAGCTGGACATCAGGTTGTTAAGGGACTGCTTTAAAGAATGGAGATGTAGGGGCCTAAGTGTCTCAAATCTTATTTTTGTCTCTCAGTGCACATGAAATATCAGCAGCACCTGGCTCTAACTTTTGAACTATTCTTATTCTAAAGAATCCTAAAGGATTCTGTGAAGATGTAAGTTCTGCTGTTATCTTCTATTTTTATTGGGTTTTCAGGGAAAAGCCTCACTCTTGTTCTTTAAAAAAAAAATTCTTAGTTGTCTCTAGAAGATTTTGTGAATCATTATCTGACCTGAGCACTGTTACCTCACCAGAACTTATGGGTCTAAGTCCTGGTAAAAGACACCACAAAAGTTACACCTTTCTTTCAGCATTTGTGCAGGCTGGCTGGAATTCTTTTTTAAGCTGGATTACTCAGCTCATCCCGTGCTTTGTAGCAGGTTGCAGGTTGGGAGCTGGGCACCAAGAAGTCAAATGTCACAGTAAGCATATCACAATTATATCTGCCCTGCTTTTGGATGTGAAATTCTCTTTAGACTTCTCCCTAGGTTCACACTTACATCATCATGTAAGATGACAGAAAATTTCCTTTTCTGTCACTCTAGTCCCAGTTTTAGCTGATACTGTAAAGAAACTGGCAAAAATTCTTAATTTTGGAGTGGAGTTTTTCCAGGCTTGGGTTAAAATACAAGGTGTCAATAACATAAGAAAATATAAATGGTTCCAAGGAAGGTGGCAAAGCTGCATTTTCTCATTTGTGCATTGCTGCATGAGTTTAAGTTGCCCAGAATTTCCCAGATCATTTGCCCATCTGGATTATTCAGTCATGCAACACAGTTTAAAATAAGTTATCAAGTATCTGGGTTGTTCAAAATTGTGTGAAATAAATAGTCATTGCTACTCTTCTCACTGTTGCTTTGGTTTGAAAAGTCGTTGCATGACCTTCAAATGTGATGTTTAAAAGATAGTGAACTTTGTAAAGGAACAGCAGAGAGTTGAACTCCTGATAACTCCTGAATCTGCATTTTGTATAATTGTTGCAACTGCTGCTGTTAACCTTTAAACAAGGTTTAAAGTCTTCTGCTGGTTCTGTGGAAAATCTAAATGTAGCCTTTGTACCAAAATTGTTGATCAGACTTTGTGCAGGTTTTATATGTAATTATTATGTTAAGGCAGGCCACTCTCACTTATTCCGAAGCCCTTTATTAACTTTATTAAACTTTAAAGCATGAACTGGCAGAAGGTTCCATCTGATCAGAGATGGAAAGAAATTTGCTGTGGGCAGGGACACCTTCCACTAAATTGGGGTACCTCAGGCTCTGTCCAGCCTGGCCTTGGACACTTCCAGGGATCCAGGGGCAGCCACAGCTTCTCTGGGCAGCCTGGGTGCCTCACCACCCTCAGAGGGAAGGATTTTTTCCTGATACCCAATCTAACCCTACTCTATCTCAGTTTGAAGCCATTCCCCCTTGTGCTGTCACTCCTTGTGAAAAGTCTCTCTTCATTTTTCCTGTGAGCTCCCTGGAAGGCCACAAATGCTGAGCATTCCCAATTCTCTCAGCTTCTCCTCACTGGAGGAAAACACAGCCCTGTGTTGAGGAAAAACTTTATGAACTCACCATCAGTTATGACTCTGAAAATGTGATACACAGGAGGAGCTCCAGGTGGATAATCAAACTCTGTGTGAGTGCTGGGGAGACAAAGAGTGCCAAAAAATGTCCCTGGTCACGAGAATGCCCCCTGGTATTGTTCAGGGGGCCGGGGTTTGTCCAGCACAGCTGATGCTCAGCCAGACAATCCCACACACGAGGCAGGATTTAGCTGCTCTGCTCCACAGGCACTTTGGATACGCAGCTCTAGTTTGGAAACTGAAAGGGTTTAGTGATATGAATGTGCCAGAGAGCATAGTCCAGCCTTCAGGGCTGATTTAATTTGCTGGGGAAAACAGCTGCAGGGTTTCCAGGTACAAGTGGTTCTATTAAATACCTTCCTAATGGTTCTGTTATGTGAAATAGTGAAAATATGGGTCATTTTCTCCCTTACTGCATGTTTTCCATGAGAGTTGTTAATTGTTTCACTGTTACAATGTCATTCTTTATCCTCTCCAGTACTGCTGATCCTCCTGTGTGAACATTACCTCGAAGTGACATTTCAGTATGGATTATTACAACAACTGATGTGTTTGTAAAATTCATTTTGTTTCCCAAATCCTCTGTTTATGACTTTGTTTGTGAAGAAGAGCAACTCCCTGGGAAATTTTGCTGCTTCCACATTAAAAGTAAAGGTGCTGTTGATTGAAATTTCATCCTATTTCAGGATTAGTTGGTGTTTGCTGCGTAGCAGCAGGTGACAACAATAAATTCAGGTATTTACATATATAGGCACCTTAATTAATTAATTAATGGTTAGGTAATTTGCCTTCATTGGTTGACTGTAAAAAAGCAAACAGTTTTATCTTTGTCTTTATTGTGCTTTTGCTTTCCAGTTCCCTTGCAAACTTTCAACTTATCTTAAGGTCCATATGGATTTATTTAAATTTTATTTAATCCTAATGTCCTTTATTTTTTCTGTACCGAATTTCATTATGGATAATGAGAACTTAAATCTTGGGCACACTTAGTACAGAGGGAAAATTAGATCACTGAAAGTAGTGGAGTTCCACCCTTGACAAAGCATTGCAGTTAAAATAATAATTAAATCTTAAGTAGTTTTATTACAGTGCTTTTATTGTTAAGTATTTGAATGGATTATGCAAACAGCAGTTCCCCTCTGAAATTGTATCTGAAAATTAAGGTGGCAGGTAGGTAAAAATAGTGTTGCAGCAACTTAAATTGAGGGTGTTGCCCCTCTTTCTTACAGTTTTACAGTTTAAATTAAAAAATGAAACTTAAAAAAAGCCATCTAATTTATGATGATGACTATGGCTGTTAGACAATGTATTGATTAAACCTTTTTTGTGCACTCACACTCTTACTTTATAGTTGGACATTCTGTTTTATAAGGAGATCCCTTTGAAGTATATCAGCACTTTACTAGCTTATGGTTTTGCTTTATGGGATTTATTTCCATTTTCAGCATTTACTAATGGGTCTGATGAGTCATGAGTAGCACTGTCTTTAAAACAAGAAACAGGGCTTTTGTTGTAAAAATATTTTGCTGGAAAACTTCTGAGATTTCAAGACAGAAATTCCCTGGTTGTCTTAGGCACTGTTGTAACAGGTCTGTGATTCAGAGTCCCGTGACTGGCAAACTCAGCCACCTTTTTTACTTCACTGCAAGTTTTACCTGTCTCCAAATCACATTATTCTCAACTTTTTTTTTTTTTTACACTCCCTTTTGTGTGTGACATCTCCTCTTTCTCTGTGGGCATGTCTAGTTTAAGTTCTGTAGACCAGCATTGTTCCTACCTGCTAAAAGGGCAAGTCAGCCACATCATTGAGAGAAGAAAATGGGTTTAAATAGCTGTCACCTAAAATTTAAACCCCTTTTTACAGGAGATTTAACCCTTTTGCAGAGTGGCCAGCTGTCCCACACTCCCATCCTATGCAGAATTGAATGTCCTTTATTAAGATTATTAGTCATGAAATCCACGTTCTCTGTTCCCAGCTTTCTAAACAGACACAGACATTTCAAGCATGATTTTTTGTTGTAGCACATGAATGAATGGATGTTTTCCATTTTCCTGCTAGGTTGCTTTTTGCTGCTGCAGCAGCACTAACCCTGTTTTGTAGACTTACAAGAGAGACCAAACCTGTGCTGACCTGTCTCTGCTAGCTGAGTCTGCCTAGGATGGGTAGCAGCAGGAGCAAAGGCATGGAAACATCTGGGAGATCTGTTCCAGGGCTCAGGCACTGCCCAGGGCAGAGTTGTGCCTCCTGTGCAGGGACAATTCCTGGCTCAGTCCCTGCCCCTTCCTCTGGTGCCACTGCTGGGCCCCAGGGCAGAGCGTGGCCCTGCTCTGACCTCCCTGCACCCAGGGACACCCGGGGACACCCAGGGCTGAGGGTTCCTCTCCAGGCTGAGCAGCCCCAGCTCCCTCAGCCCTTCCTGGACATGGAGATGCTCCAGGCCCTTCCTCAGCTCTGCAGCCTCTGCTGGCCCCAGGAGCTCCAGGTCTCCATGTCCTGAGGATCCAGAGCTGGACACAGCACCCCAGAGGTGCCTCAAAGGGTTGAGCAGAGAGGCAGGATCAGTCCCTAACCTGCTGAAAATGCTCTTCCCAATGCAGCCCAGGATCCTGTTGGCATTCTTGGTCACCAGGACACTCTGCTGGTCATGGAGAGCTCCTTGTCCAGCAGGACTCCAGAGCCGCTCTCCAGCAGCTCACCCCAGCTGTGCAGCTGCAGGGGTTTATTTCTCTCCAGTACATCTTTCTGCTGCGTTAGTTTCCTGCCAAGGTTGTAAATTCCATCAGCACACCTTGGTCAAGGAACTTCAGAGCAGACACAGAGTAGGTAAAGAGGGGAGGGGATAAAGGGAGGATGTGAACGTGTTTGATCTCCTGTGTTCTGTACATTCACCTTTTCTGATTGTTTCAGACTGAAACAATCCTGAATTGAACATCTGCAGTGAAGGCAGATCCTTGATGTTTAGATTTCTTATTACTGAGGGACTTGGGTTTGTGGACAGAAGTATCAGAAATAAATAAAGGCAATTCCCAGAGAACCCAGTAGTGTATATTCTAATCAGAATGAAAAGAAAGAATTATCCAGAATGAAAAGAAAGAAAAAAGCTTCTATAGATGCACTGCTTTATTCAGCATTCGTTAGACAGCTTTAACCAGATTATCATAAGCTATCCTAAAGCAGCTTTAATCTTTCTTAATGAAACGGATAATTTAATTAGAAAAACATTTACACTTGAACTTTTCCTGCAAATAAGGGAAGCAGTCACAGAACAAGTTACCAGCCCTAATGTCCTGATTTTTATCTTTATTTTGGTGGAAAAGAGGGTTTGAATAAATGAGTGCACTTGCTTTCATAGGGCTTTGCAGAACTAGCAGTTCCCATTTTAGACCAGAAGATGGACTATTAATTCACAACACTGCACTGCTCACAGGAGGGTGTTTTTAATGGCAAAGTACTAAGAAAGGAAAAGAAACCTAAGGAGCATCTCCTGTTGAGATGCTGTGCGTGAGAAATCTGTTCTCCAAATCTGCTCTGAGTCTTTTTTCATTTCCATGGTCTGTGTTAATCCTGCAGCGTGCCTGGTTGAGAGATGTACACATTAAAATAATCCTGCTCATAAATAGTGCTGTACAATAATGAACTGAACAGTGAGGGAAATGTGAGTGGCTAAAGGGGAAAAGATTGGTTTCCCCTACTATACCAGATCTTTTAGTGTTCTGGTGTCACAGAATCACAGAATGGTTTGGGTTGGGAGGGACCTTAAAGATCATCTAAATTTGATCTTTAGTTATAAACATATAAAAATGGATTTATATAGATCCAATTTCTTTATGCCATTTGAAACAAGCATTACTTGGGGAAGGATTTTTTTCGCACTGATTCTTGAATATGTGGCAGAAATTTCTTTTAACAAAGTTAAAAATATACTTGTGCTATGGAGGGACTGTCCTTTTTTCATTAGATGTTGAAGCAAACTTAGTCATCCTGAAGTAATTTTTACTTTTCTGGGCTTTTTGCCCCATGAATGCACAACTCTTCAGTGTGCTTCACTGTAGTTCTTTAACCATCTTTGAAGTATCATTAGGAGCTCTGGTCATGTGTTCATAATGTAGCAATTGTTGCATTATATAGTCTCTGTTTTGTTAAAAACGTGGATTCAGAGAAATAACATTTATTAAAATAAATTGGTGGGTTTGTGTTCCTAATTTTTGTCTTGTTTTGCTATGCCAGAGAAGTTAACTGGATTTTATTAAATATTTCATCTGTCACTACACTTTATAGGACTTCAGGCATCTCTTGAAATAGTTGATTTCTCATTCCCTTCAATACATTATTTTCAACAAACAGTAATTCATCACTGAAGTAAAGTACTTTCTGATTAATATATTGTTGTTTGGTGTGTCTGTTTATTAATAAATTTCTATGCTTCCTTTGCATCTGCCTCATCCTTAGCTATTTGTACAAATGTCATAAATAATGTATAAACATTTTGGGGCTTACCCCTTTAAAGCCCTGTTCTGCAAATTCTTTGGTGTTTGTGCTCTGGGTTTTTTACTCTAAATGTGGCCACTTTTCATCTTGCAGGTTCCAGATACATTAGGAAATGAGTGGTATTTTGAATTGCAAATGTTGATGTTTTCTTGGCAGAGCTTTTGAAGATGGCACCAGATATCCCATTAAATATTAACATCAAGGAGCCCCGATGGGATCAAAGCACTTTCATTGGACGAGCCAATCACTTCTTCACTGTAACAGACCCCAGGAATATTTTGTTATCTAATGCCAAACTGGAAAATGCAAGAAAAATTGTGCATGATTACAGGTATGACATTGACTACTTCTACCTCTGGCCCCAAAAAGCCCAAGTCCTTGATAAGTACATGGTGATATATTTAAAAGGAAATACTTAAACATTGTATTCATTGCAACTTCTTATTCCCACCTCAGAGTTTGAAACCCTTTTATTTTTAATGAAATTTGCTAATGGATGGGGAAGTTATGCCCCTCTTAGGGGCTCTGAGATACAGAAGAGTCTAATTCTGAAAGTAGTTAATATGACAACAAAGCTTAAAACTTCCTCTTATGTGTGGCATTTGGAGCAGTTGGTGTCTTAAATACTCTCAAAGTGAATTTTCATCGTTTCACACTAATGACCTCAGAGATTTTGGCTCTGCATTTTAGCTCTAAAACCTAGTGCAGCTTTGAGTAAATAGACTCAGCCAACATAAACCACTGCTGGGAGTTTTAATTCTTTTTATTTCACCAATGCATTTAAAAGCTGAAGAATCTCTACAAGGTGTCTGAGAGTCTCCATTCCCATAGGGTGAAATCCCCAAATCCTCTGATGCCACATTTCTCACGGGGGCTTGCAGCATTTTATAACACATGTGCTTTTTGCTCTTGTCTTGTCTCTTAACCTGTCCCAAGACAAGGTATTGTGGCACCTGGCTTGACAGAAGATGAGCTGTGGAGAGCAAAATACATTTATGATTCAGCCTTTCACCCCGACACTGGGGAGAAGATGTTCGTGATCGGCCGAATGTCCGCCCAGGTGCCCATGAACATGACTATCACAGGCTGCATGATGACCTTCTACAGGTGAGAGAGGGCAGTAAAACACATCAAACGTTTGCCTGCAAGTTAGAAAAGTGAAAATCAATGTTGTTTTCAAAAGATTTATTGTAAATGTTTTTAAATGTGAAATTTTGCTTCCTTTTCCTCTTCTCTTTCCTCATTCCCTCACGTTGATTAATGGTTCTTTCTAGAAGTAGTTTTGAGATAAGCCCTTAGCCCTTCTCCTTCACCATCCCACTTTCCCTCTAACTGGGAAATGTTCCAAAATCCCATCTGTGTGGAGGACAAAGAGAAGGAGATCCCTGGGAATTTCCAGCCTTACTGGCATGCAGGATGTTCTGTCTGCCCTGTGAGTACTTGGAATGCTTCAATCCAATTTGTATGGTTGATTTTAATTACTGTTGTGGACATGGCCATTGGTTGTGGAGTTTCTGCAGCTCCCCTGCATTTCCTCAGTGGTTCTGGAATCTCCAGGACAGTGAAGCCCATTGAAGCAGAGCCAGTGCTCTCTTAGCAGCCTCCATGTTAGAAACATAGCTCCCCTGCATTTCCTCAGTGGTTCTGGAATCTACAGGACAGTGAAACCCATTGAAGCAGAGCCTCTCATAGCAGCCTTCATGTTAGAAACATTTTTTGACACAGGATGCAGGAACTGGTGGGAGCTCAGAGGAAACAGCAGCAGCCTTTTGGATGCTGAGATTGTACAAACTCCTGACACACACCTCAGTTTTGGATGGTGTTTATAAAACGTGTGTGCTTTAATTTGCAGTCAATAATATGAATCAAACCCCCAGGACAGGTGCCCATTCCCAAGCACTGCCTCCTGTTAACTGCTTGTTCTGTTATTATCTATAACACTTTGAGAAGCTCTCTGCCTTTTCTTTGCATTATTATTCATGTTCAAAATTAGGTGATTTTTAAATTCGTCATCTAAAATAACTCTAGCTATCAAGTATCAGTGTCTCACTGGCTGTATTGTTTTATCCAAATAAGCAAGAAATTCTGCATGGTTACTGCTTGCAGTGGCTTTTCTTGATTTGTCATTTTCTTGTGCTGTTAATTCAACTGTTGCGAGTTTAATAATAATAATTACAATTGTTTCTCTTTTCAAGAACGACACCAGCAGTGTTATTCTGGCAGTGGGTCAACCAGTCCTTCAATGCTATAGTAAACTACACCAACAGGAGTGGGGATGCCCCAATCACTGTCAGGTCAGGCACTGAACCTCATCATTCTGATGAACAGAAATTGCTCTCTGGTATACATGAACATGGTTGGGCATTGAAGTTTGATGTGAGACAGGGATAAGTTTTTCCATCTGTATTAATTATTGGTTTGATATGCACAGATGAGAAGTCTGAGAAGGGCAGAGCTGAGAACTCAATTTCTGCCATTAAAGACAAGCCTGAGCACCTTGATCAAGAGCACTTAGTATTTAACAGGAGTCTGTGTTTCAGGGCTCAGTCAACCATTTGCAAGTTTTCCTCATCAGTTTGGTGTCCTGCCAGGATATTTCTAAGCTAATATTTTGTGGGGGCCTTCAGTTGTGTCACTGTGCCACCTTCTCAGTGCCAGCACACACCACACTGAGGGTTCTTTTACAAAAAGAGATTCCTTCAGCTGGTCTGTGCTTGTTTCTACTTGATGTCTGAAAAAGAGACTAAATAGATGCAGAAAGTAAGAAATCTCAAACTGAAAGAGGGGACATTTAGGTTAGATAAACAGGAAAAATCTCCCCTGTGAGGGTGGCAAGGCCCTGGCACAGTTACCCAGGGAAGCTGTGGCTGCCCCATCCCTGGAAGTGTCCAAGGCCAGGCTGGATGGGGCTTGAAGCAGTCTGGGATAGTGGAAGGTGTCCCTACCCATGGCAGGGGTGGAATGGAATGAACTTCATGGTTCCTCCCAAACCATTCTATGATTCTATGAATAGAAAACTGGAATTACAGTACTTGATTTTCTGGTTTTGGGGCTGACTTGCTTAAAAATGTCTGGGAGCAAACTGTGGATTGCAGCATATAGAGACACCTCCTAGCTGGGAAGTATGTAAAGTGTGGTTTGGGGCAGGTTGGGTTGGATTTGAGTGTTTGCAGCTGGTCTGTGTGTATGGGATGGAGTTTGGTATGGTTGATTTTAACTGCTGTTATAGACATGGCCTTGGAAATCCAAACTGATTTTACTAGGTTAAGCAATTAGGAAATTAAATAAAGAACTAACCCTTCAAGGTGTTCATTCAGGTACATGAGAAAATGCTGAACAGGCAGCAATGCACAACCAGCACAACCTGATTCACTATTACAATGTGGCTTGAATATGATTTTTACAGCCAGTGAAATCAAAGTGTTTAATTCAGTGTCCCATTTAGCTCTTCCACCCCCACCTCATTGCAGTAGCACAAGAAAGCCTATTTAACTTCTGGGGGGCATAACTATGTGTGTGAAATGTAATTGTTTTTCAAAGTGACACCAGTGTAGTTGTGCATGTGCAGACATTTTCATTTCTGTTTTAGGCAGCTGGGAACAGCCTATGTTTCTGCCACCACAGGTGCTGTCGCTACAGCCTTAGGACTTAATTTACTAGCAAAGGTATTGCTGGTGTTCTTTGTTTATTCTTACTAAACTGTGATGTCCTGTGAGAAGCTCACAGCTCATTTCTCCTCTGGTGTATCTGTGTCATGCACAGCTCCCACTGTGGAGTTGTTATGGCTGCTCCTTTCTTTAGATCCCAACTTTATTTTTTCTCCAAGAATATGGGTTTATGCATATCTGTCAAACAACCCATGTTTGGTTCATGGAGACTCTATCTAATAAGGTGCCTTTTTTCCAGTTTCTTTTTCACTTTACAAGTTATCTAATAGCACTTGGAAAATTAATTGGAGTTGTAATTACATTTCCCTGTGATACTACTAAGTCCAGAATGGTTTTGCCACTCTCCTGCCACTGCTCACTCCTGAGAGAACCATTTATGACTTATTTCTTGTTTGAAGCTTGTTCTACCTCTGCCCCACCAGTGAGTTTTCACTGAATTTTAATGAAAAAGAAATAAGTCTGGTCTGTCATTAGCTGCTGAAGCATTTCAACAAAGACAGTGATGATGTACATTTTTATTTTCCTTTTTTCTCCCCTCTCCATGTGTTTTCCAGCGCGTCTCACCTCTCGTAGGGAGGTTTGTTCCTTTTGCTGCTGTTGCTTCTGCCAACTGCATCAATATTCCACTAATGAGACAAAGGTAGGAAAAAGAACAAAGATCACTCATGCTGGAAGAAAAGATGTTGTTCACTTGGTAGATCAGCAGGTTACTAAATAAAGCACATTTTGTATCTTTAGCTTGTTTTAGTACCTTGCAGGAACCTCATGCATGAGGTTTTGACTGGTTGTTTGTAACAGCTATAAAATAGAACATAATCATTCTCTTCAGATAAATATCCAAAGAGTTCTTCAGTCTTGGATCTCAGAAACCAATTACTGGCTCCTTCAAAACTTTGATCACAGGGACCTTTGAATAGCAGCTACACTTGGGAAAAACAGTCATTTCAAAAACGGTGCTTGAAATCCCACCTGCAGAACTTAGTCATAGAAGTCAGGCTCTGCAGTTCTGTTTAATCATTGAGGTGACAAAAATATGCAGTTTGTCAGAAACAAACTTTTTTTATGTGTTGTGATCTGAATAGGAATAAGAATAGTAGTAGGGAAAAGCAAATTTATACCATCCTATTATAAGCACAAAGTTATGGGCAAAAAAGGGAATATCTAGACTTTGTATTTACAATGGAAGTTGATCTGTGGTGGTATTCATCTTTTGTAAAATCTGAAGAGAAGAATAAGAGCAGTCCTGAGGATATTTGCTGTTGTCTGTGCTTCTCCCAGTATGAGTTTACCACCTAACCCTGCACTTGAGCAAAAGATCTAATAGAGAATAATGCAGTTACAGAAACGGAGTTTGGTTTGTGCCTCCTTTTATACTTTCAAGTGTATTCTTCATGGTTGAAATGACAGCTCAGACTGGAATGCCAGGGGGGAATTTTCAAAGAGCCTTCTGTTTCAACTCAGTGAAAATAATCTTCCTGTGTTCCATGAGCTGTCAGATAGGACAGGCTCCACTTCCAGAGCAGTCCAGAAAATTCCACATTTCTGAATTAATGTGTGAAGGGACCTCTCCCTTCTGTGGAACACAAAAAAATCATACCTCTTTTTTTCTGCTTTGGAATGCTGTGACCAGACTCAAGCAGCAGATTGCTGTTACAAATATTGAGTTGGTAACTCCTCAACATATTTTGCCTTGATCTTTCTCTGCCTTTTGAATTTTTTGTGCCAAGGAGTGTTACAAACAGACTCACTTAGAAAATAAAATAAAACACACAATTCTTGCAGTTGAAGATTTGAAGGGACAAAGATACGGTGACAAAAAATGGGGAAAAAATCAGTTCACATCCATCACTGCTTTATTTTTTACCCCTTATTCAACAGGGAACTCCAGTTTGGAATTCCTGTCACGGATGAGGATGGAAAAAGGCTGGGTGATTCATCCAAAGCAGCTCAGCAGGCGATTGCCCAGGTGGTGATATCCAGGATTCTGATGGCTTCTCCTGGCATGGGTAAGGATAAGTCCTGTGCTGTCCTGATTATCAGTCCCTGCTGTGAGGAGGTTCTGTTCTATCAAGTGATTTTCCTCTGGGTTCAAATTACCTTTCAGTTCCCCAGGCAGTGTTTGCCTGTCTGTTAAGAACTTCCCCAGGGAAATGTGGAAACATCCTCAGTGTGAACTGCAGCAGGGAAGCTCCTGGGATGCTTCTGCTGGAAAGATACTGATAGCAAAGGAATGGGAGCAAATTCCATTTGCTTGGAGTTGGTTTAGGTGCTCTGCCAGTGCCAAGTGACTGAGCTCAAGTTTAGTTACTCATGAAATTGCAGGTTTTGCTTATTGGGAGAATTCACCTTTGTAAATGGTGAATTTACAGACCAACTAGTAATGGGAAATGAAAACTCAGTGAATGACAAAAGGCTGTGAAAATTGTATTATGGTATTAGTTCAGCTAAACAGAAAATGAAAACAAAGTGCCATTCTCTCCAAGATTAATGCTTTTTAAAATCTTATTTGCAGCTATTCCTCCATTCATAATGAACGCCCTGGAAAAGAAAGCCTTTTTAAAGGTTAGTCTTAGATAATCTATCTCTATGTATTCCATATCCAAAGTTAATATTTTAATGAATTTTAAATACTTCCTGAATCTTTATATTTGCCTCCCAAACACTGTGGGAGGACATCCCTGCAGAACTTGCTTTACAGCTGTCTCTTTCCTTCTGCCTTTCTTAGAGATAACTTGGTTCTTTTGTCACAGTGCAAGGTAACATTGAGAAAATAGGCACATCCTTGTTACTTTTATAATTGTTCTTGGAATGCACATTTCCTCCTGTGAAATAAACCTTCCTTGTACTGAGACTTGGAATACAATTTATTGGGGGAAAAAAATTAATAATGCTGGTTTTCTCAAGATAGCAGTAAGGAGGCTTTACTTACCTGCTGTAGTAGCAATCTGAGTTTGCAAACAAAAATGATGGTAAAAATCTCTCCTGAAAATGACCCTTTCAAATTTACTGGGTGTAAAGTGCAGGGCAGGCATAGAATGGGCATTCTTTATCAGAGATTACTTATTTCCTTTATTCTTTTTATGCTCATGTAGTGTGAAGTGAAACCCCTGGTGTAGGTAAATCCATTACCTACATCAACATTCTGCACTGTGTGTGCATGAGAGGGTAAAGAACAATAATGGAATTAGTTACAGGGTTGTCTAACACAGGGGAAATGATATCCAGGTGAGGAACCCTTTAATTCTTTACCAGTAAAGGGAGTTTCATCCTCACTGCTGATATCACTGATTTAATTACTTGGGAGCTCCAGGCAAGGCCTCTGCTTGTGAGACCCACCCAAGAAGCTTAAGAAAATCTGTCTCCTTCCTGTTAGAAAAAATTAGGAAAAAAAACAGCCCCTGCCTTGGAAAAGTTTGTGACAAGGAGGACAAGCAGGGGGAGATTTTGTTTTGAATGGTTTTGCTTGTCTAAGATAAAGCTTTCTAAAGTGTTTAAATTTTATCTCTGACTGTTTCTGCCCTTCATATCTCTTGTGCAGAGTGAAATTTCCCAGTTACACACCCCACTTGAAAGTGTTTCTGTATTTATAAGGCAGGAACAGATTGCCTGGGGTAGCTGGGGCTGCCCCATCCCTGGAAGTGTCCAAGGCCAGGTTGGAAAGGGTTTGGAACAACCTGGGATAGTGCAGGGGGTGGAACTGGATGATCTTAAAAGTCCCTTCCAACCCAAACCATTCTGTGATTGTCTTCCAATCTTAAAATTTCTTTTTCCCTAAAGTGCTCTGCTTCCCTCCCACTTGTTAACAGAAAACACTTTTGCTCACGGTGTAAAAACAGGAAATGTGGCATTTGAGTTTCAGGGTAAAAATCAGTGTGTGCTGCTTTTATCTCCTGGAAGAAGTGAGCCTGCAGGGTATCCAAACACACCACAACTTGTGATACTGTGATGTTCTTGAGAATGTATTGCTTGGAGAATTGACCCTTGTTAAAAAAAAAAATTAGGGAAAAAATTATTTTGTATGTATTTGACATGTAAGATGTGTCACAAAGCCATTGCCTCAGCTGACAAATCCATAACATTTGTGAAGAAATTGCAGCAATCCTCAGGGTCTGGAGACAAATGCCTGTTGTTTTTGTGTGGTGTAATCAACATAAGGGTGTTGTGAATTTTTCAGATCAGCCAAAATGAGCGATTTCTGCAGTGACTACTCAGTGGTCTCTGGTACCCTCCTGTCCTCTCCCTGAGCCTCAGAGACTGAAGCCAGGTGAAACACTGCTCTGCAGGTAGCCAGTGGTAACACCTGGTAGAGATTAGTAGTAAATATTAAACCCATCAAGGAATGAGCTGCGTTTTTAACAAGCAGCTTCTGCATGTCCTCATGGAGTTTGAGAAGCACCATCCCATGCCAGCACTCCACCACCATCCCCACACTGCTTTATTAACTCGCTACCCTTGGCCTCTGCTTCTCCAGCACTCTTGGAAATAATTCCTGACTGCTTGCCAAAGCCTCTTAAGCAACACACAAGGCCAAAAAATAGAAAAATGGTTCTGAAATGATAAAAGAAATTAGAAAGCTGGTCTGCAGTAAGACAGAGAGAAGGAAATGCTCCTGGGATGTTGGTCTCAGAGCAGCCTGTCATCCTCTGATATTTGGGATAAGATGTAGGTCATGTAGCCCAGCTCATCCCCCACGTTCCCACGGGGTTTTGCACCAAGACATTGGTGTGAATTAACAACATTCCCAGAAGTTACTGCTAGAAGATGCCTCAAGAATGTTCTTGGAACACAAGCACGTATTTACTGCTCCAAAAAGAAGTTGCCTTGAAGAAGTATTTTTATCTGTAGAAGTTTTTATTTCTTGCCATTGGTTTCAGCAGCAGCTTTGGGGCCTGTTTATGTAATTATGCAGCATAACAGTAATTGATTAGGCTGCATAATGTCAATTTTATTACCCCTCTGGCCATAATCCTGACCAGCTCTGTACAGAACCAGGTTATTTTACCTGCTGCAGCAGGAGGAGCCATAAACAGCCTTGCCCTGAGGCACAGGGTTTATAGGTTTTACTTACAGGTAACTTTTCTCCTAAAGAAATAAATTGGTTTTTTTCATATAAACTTAAGAAAATTCCAATCAACACTAAAGTTTTAGTTTTTATTGCATTCTTACACAGCTTTAGCTACCGTTTCTCTTCTGTTCTGCAAATTGTATTAGCATCCAAGTTGATTCTAGAAGTTTCCTCATACATCCTTGAAACAAGCTCCTTGGGATCTTTTAATCTGCAGCTAAAATCTGTATTCAAAATGGTTACAAAACCAGAACAGAAAGCCTTTCCTTCAAGCATTGTTCTTGAATGTCTTATGCCCTGAAGTCCTCCACACATTCCTAATTTCACTGTCAATTCATATATTTATTTTTTTGAAAGCAGACATAGCTGGCCTGGGAAAGCTGACAGATTTTCATATCCAACAAAGAAAGGAGGCAGTTAGAGAAAAGCTGATTCTCCTTATGGCTTTTGTTTGCTTAATTATAATTCCTCCATTTTCTCTGTTTGCACTAACCACTAAAATGTCATAAAGACATCTGGAAATTAAATCCTAATTCATTGGGAACTGCCTTCTTCCTGAGTTAAATGATAGTTCTCTAACACACTGAATTCTTCTGCCTTTCTCTTGTAGTTTCTCTGTTTTCTCTCTTTGTGGGGGTGTGCAGCCTGTATTTGAATTTTATTGTTTGACGTTGTTCCCTGGGCAACTCCAGTTCTGAATTCTGACCTCCCAGTGTTACTTTTTCCTCACCAGCTTTCTGTATTAGTGCAGCCTGGTAACATTCTTGAAAAATAAAGGCTGGAATTCAGATCGAGTTGGCAAAAAATGTTCCAGCACATAAACTCCATGTTCTTTATGGAGTCTGTATTAGACATCTCTCTCAGATCAGTGACTAACTGTGACAAAGGCATAAAACCATTTATTCCTCTCAGGGCACCTTCCAACAGCCTTTTCACTTATAAAATTGCATTTGGAGTTTTTCTGTTACATCCCTTGGGTGCCACACTCCCCTGCCATGCACAGCATCCCCCTCCCTTCTCAGAGACAGTGCAGGGTTTGGTTTGCATTCATCTCCTCTTGGCATGGACTCTCCCAGGGCATAAAATGAAAATTTGGGGTGAGTTTATCTCAGCTGAGGGTCAGATGGAAGTGTTTAGGGAATGCTAGAACAGCAAAGCTCTGCTGCCTTCACTCTTCTTGCTGTTGTTGTTTGTTCCCATTTGTTATCTCCTGTTGCAGGTTATTGCTGAATTGCCCAGTTCTTCCTGCACTCATTTCTGCATTACAGATTGACTCCTGGAAAAAAAATAAAGAGAAGTAGTCTTCTACATTGTTTCTTCTCCCTCAGGCTCTGGAGAAATTTTGCTCCACACAGACTCATTTTCCCTGCCTCAGACACTGCTGTGACCTCCCTCAGCCCTGAGCTTTGTCCTTCTGACCTTTCTACATTTCCTTTGTCCATTTCTAATCTCAAACAGTGCCCAGCTTTTGTTCACCATCTTCCCCTCCAGCTTCTATATCTTCAGAAATTCTTCTTGCAGAAACACCATCTTCACTGAAAACCTCCTCAACTGTATCAAGTGATTTTTTACCTCGTGAGCTATTTTGTTTTAAAAGTCCCTTTGTGTCTTTATGGCAGCTGTGTTCTGCTCTTAATGGAGCTATAGGTAGCAGTGTCCACTGAACAGCTCTGAGTTAACTTCATTAGGAATGAATTTCAACTGAAATTCTACCAATGAAAGTGGATTGATAAATAATTTTAAAAGCCTGCAAAAAATAAAATTCTTGGCATATATTCAAGTACTGCAAAAGTTACAGAATTAATGAGGCATGTGGGTTATGTGTTGCTTTTTCAGCTTTGTTTCCCAATCCTCAAACCCTTCTTTCCTTCAATAAAAGGTGAACTCTTGCAGAACTGAAGTGTTGCTCCAGGGACAAGTTCCTGCACATCAGGGGAAGTCATACGACAGGAGAAAGGGCTGAGAGGCAGATTTACATCTCCTTTATTTATGGCTGGTGGCTCCAGTTGCAGCTTAAAACCATTTGATGCCACCAAAGGGAAGGAGCTGTAACCAGACTGAGCTCTTCCTTGGAATGCCTGGGCAAAATTCCCTGTACCCTGCAGAGATGTGGCAGCACCACTTGGAAATTTCCAAATTTCATCTCTGGTGCTGCGGGCTTGTGAGAGTCAAAGCAAAAGCCCAGGAGCAGGTCCTGAGTCAAACAGCCACTCACCATTGGAGTTTCTGACACTTACTCAGGATCACTCTGTACATTGATCCCCCTGGGAATTTCCTTGCTGCTCTCCAAAGGGATTTGGCTCTCAGAGTGGAGCTCAGCATGAAGCCACGCTGGTCAGGGTTTTGCCTTCACATCTCAGAGTGTTTTAGGTGTCTCTTAAAAGAATTCCAGGAAGGTGGGAAGCAGGAGGAAAATATTTCACGCTCATTGTGTGTGGTTTTATTTTCAACAGAAATTTCCTTGGATGAGCGCTCCCATTCAGGTTGGATTAGTTGGAATCTGGTAAGTGGTTTCTTTGGGTTGGGTCTGCTATCTTAAGAGATAATTGTAGAGGTTTTGAGAATGCAGCAATATTTGCTTTTTTAAGGAAAAAAGGTTGAGAGTTACTGAGGGCACAGCAGTTATTTCCATCTCTGTAACTGATAAAATATCATGCTAAAAACTAAAGAGCCGTTAGCAGGGAAGAAGCTGCCAAGAAAAGCAGAGGGAGTGGCAAAAAAAAGGAATGTGGCAGCTTGATTAGAAAAGATGCTTTGGCTACTACCTCTAAAGAGTCAGTGGAATTTCATCCTGGAGGTTGATAATTCTGGAAATATTTGGTTAATGGGGTTTAATTTGCTGTGTTCTGGCATTTTCTGTTGTCATGCACACAAAGGTAAAACACTGTAACGGCATCAAATGGTAAATTTAGACAAATTTGGGAATGTTGTATTGAAACATTTAGTGCTATTTGTAGGTTATGATTTCATGTGTACAATGCAGTGAGAAATAAAAGTTGCATAGCACTTTGTGGAGCTTTACCTCACTGTGCACAGAAAACAAGAAAGCTTTTTACTTAAATCATACATAAGATTTTTGAATTCTGTTTTAGCACCCTAAATATTGTAAACCTGGTTTTGTCTCCTCTAGTCTGGTGTTTGCAACTCCCCTGTGTTGTGCCCTGTTTCCTCAGAAAAGGTGGGTACTGCTGTGAATTATTCTCACTTCAGTGTTATTCCAGATCCAGCCATGGTGCTGCACACAGACACAAACACAGGATCACTGCCTGCTCAAGCACAGTTTTAATTCCCATATAACAAAGGTGATAAACAAGAGAATATACAGAAAAGTAATAACTATGTTTTTCATCAGTAATATATAATAGCTGTTTACAAACCCCAGCAGCTCAAGATGAGTTCTGTACAATATATTCATGCCCAGTAAGGTTATGGATGCACTAAATACAGTCAGAGTCCATTTTATTTTCAGCTGGAAACTCTTCTATTTATACAAAACAGCACTGGAATATCTGTGCTCATTTGTTCTTTGATTAATACTTTTCCAGACTTTTTCATCAATACAGAAGTAGCTCAGTACTGAAAGCAGTCTTGGAAACAATATTCATTATAGCTGAAATCCTCATGAAATCTGAATGAGTTATTTAAACTTTGCTCAATTTGGTATGTAGTATGGACAGGGCCTTAAATTCAGCTGTCATTTTAATAGTGGTTGTCTAAACTCAACAAGCTGCCAGCTGTACCTTAAACAACCCAAGCTGGAGCTGAGTCCATTAAAATGCTGAACAACTAAGGCAGCTTTTGACTTCCAGAAAACAATAGCCAATTCTCAGTGTTGTTTGAGTACAACAAAGCTGACACCATCTGTCTCCCTGCTTGGCCTAGGACAGAGAACTGTGGTAAACAAGTGTCACTAGGCTACCTGGAGATGACTTGACAAAGCAACCCAGCACACATGCTACAGTTCTTGATTTCAGCCAGGGCTCTCCACTTCAGAGGAAGATTAGACCTTGAACTGTGTTCAGGAAATTGCAGCTGTTCAAATGACCTGGCAGCTTAATTCACTTTACTGTGAACCAGCTCGCATAAAAACAAACCTTGTATTCAACTGAATAAAATCACATAGTAAGTTAAATAGGCACACATTCTATTCAATAAAAACCCTTTTAGAAAGGTAAGTTTCTATTGCCAGCAACAACCTGAGCAATGAAGTGGATCCTTACCCTCATGGTAATAGCAACAGCCATTTCCTGACTCTGGACTATCCCACTGCCCTTGGAGCAGGGATTCAAGTGCCCTGGTCTGTGAGCCTGCTTCCTGAATAAGATATTTTAAAAGATCTGAAAATTCTTTTGACAATGTAGGAAGTTTAGCAGCTGCATTGTCCATCTTATTTTCCCTTCTGGTGCTTGTTTGGTGTAACCCCTTCACTGTTTCTTTTGCTCAGTTCGATGTCGGTGTCGCGCTTGGAGCCAGATTTGCAAGACAGGATCCAAGCCAGCAGCCCTGGCCTAGAACGTGTATACTTCAATAAAGGATTATAATTCAAGGAAGGCAAAGTATCTTTCAAGGAGAAACTTACGAACTTATTTTTTGAATTGTGTGCCAACATAGACAAGAACACACCTTTATCTTGTCCTTTTGTTAAACAGGTTTGATCATCTGCATTATTTTACAGTTAAAGACTTTCCACAGTATAGTGTTTAAATTACATAAGGTCACTTTGTCCACTTTGGTATTGTTTGAAAGTTTAAACATACATATCCAGAGATGTTTACATAAGTCTCAAGCAGCTACAATAACAATAAAGAAGCGCACAATGAAAACCAGATGCTATTATATTGGATTTGCCACCTCTTCCAGTAATAGCAGGGCAGGGACCTCCTTTTGAAAAGTCATAGAGCAACTGAACGAAGTTGCCAGCCTCTGGGAGCCACAGGACGGGTGGCTGAACGTGTCAGGATGTTGTGCAGGAAGGGCTTTTTGCCAGGGGGCTGATTGGGCTGCAGGTTCTCCCTGTTGGCACAGAAGCGTTTCTTGAGGGCGGACGTCGGCGGCGCCTGCAGCCTCTGCACCGTGTGGTACTGCTCAGCAATGCAGGCTGCCTTCTTGCGCAGGTCCAGCTTCACCAGCATCATGTTGTTCTGCAGCTCTGCCAGGGTCTGGTCCTGAGGAAGGCAAGGCAAGATACATTTAAATTAAAAAAAAAAAAATCAAATCCTAGAAAGAAAAGCCCATTCCGAGTTGGAACAGACATTGAAGATCCTCTTGTTCTCTATTGCTAGACCAGCTTGCTCCAAGCCCCATCCAACTTGGCCTTAAAACACTCCCAGGGATGGAGCAGCCACAACTTCTCTGGGAAATGTGTTTTCAGTGCTTCAGCATCCTCAGAGTAAAGAATTTTTTCCTAATATCTAATATAAACCTCAGTGTGAAGCTATTCCCCCTTGTCTTGTCATTCTCTGCTCTTCCAAAAAGAGTCCCTCTCCAGCTTTCTTGTAGGCTCCCATCAGGTACAATGAAAAGTTGCCTTAACTCCCTGGTTACTGTGAACTGGGGAGAATAAACTGCCTTTAACCAAAATTCACTAACTCTACTGCTAAATAAGACCATGCATAAAAGCTTCTACTGTCAACAGTGTAGCAGTTCAGTAACACATAGGAACAGTAAGGGTGGGACAAAGCTGACTCCATCCTGCTGCAAATATGCTGCCATAGCAACTGTGATGGAGTGGATAAGGAAATAATTCTCTGAATTCTTCTACTTAAAATGCAGTTAACTGAACAGGAACAATTTGGGTGTCCTGTGGAGCGTTAAATATACAACTAAGCCATTGAAAAAAAAAAAATCAGCCACATAGCTCCCTTAACAAAATATATACTAGCAAATAAATAATTTTTATTTGCAGCAGCAAGAACTTTGGTTGCTCTGATTATGGCAAAGCACAGACCAGAGCCCTCTCCCCCATGCACCCACAGCAAAGCAGACACCTCACCTGTCTGGCCAGGATGTCATCACACATGCCCAGGGCTTCTCGCAGCTTCCCTGCCCCTGTGCTGTGGCAGCACGCCCGCTCTGCAGACTGGAGAGACTCCCCAATCTTTTGTAACTCTGAACGCAGCAATCTGACGTTCTAGAAGAGAGGGGGTTTAATGCAACAGCTGGTTTTGGCACTGCTCTGCAAACAAAGCCACACCAAGGTAATTCAGACGTGCAGCACTGAGGGAGGGTCCCATCTGAGTGACCACAAATACCCCAACCTTCAACAACAACTGTAATTTCAACAAATCCCTTTCATTTTTTTTGAATACCTGGAAACAGCAGCCCCAAATTCTGCTTAAGCTGGCAACCACTTTGCCCTGCAAATGTTCTTTTCTGTAACACAGAACTGGAGTTACCTTCTGTCCATCCTCCAGCTTCCTGTCCACATCCATAGTAATGGGTTTGGCAGAGGGAGGTGGCTCCACCAATTTCTGGTACTTGTGCAACTCTAGGAACAGACAAAGAGTAGTGAGCAACTGGACATTGATCAGCTTTCAGTGTTCCTGAAATTCAGGACTTCCCTTGAGACAAGCTGCCACAGGCAAGCTGGGAAGAGCTTTTGAGTTTGTGCAGAAAGGCACAAACATTCCAGGCTTCTCCCGTTCACTTAGACAAAGGGGCTTAAGAATTTGAATGGAAAAATTATCCTGTCCTAAAGTCCATTTTCCTGTGAAAATGAAGTGAAACTGTCCATCTAGCACATTATTCCTGTCACCTACAAATCAAATAATGTTTTGAGGGTGTTTAAATCCAATGTACCCAGAAGGAGGTCTCTAACCCTGCACAGGGATTTCTCAGCAGGGTTCAGAACCCGTGCAGCATTGCTGCTGTACCTGCATTTGTGGAATTCAACTCCTTTTGACACTGCTCCAGCCTGGCTTTGGTGTCTGCCAGCTCCTGCTGCAGAGCAGACGAGGTGGCCACTCGCTTGGATCGACGTACACTCTGCTCTGAGTCCTTTTGCTGGGCATCCAGGCTCTCCAGTTTTTGTGTGGTCTCCTTCAGAGCAGCTTTGAGCTCCGAAATTTCCTCGTCACGCTCCTGAGAAAGGAAGTTTGTTCAGAGAGTCAACAAGATTTTTGTAGCACAACTTGTCTGAAATGTTCTGTGTCTTTATTCCTGGAGAATTTCTCAATCCTACACTTCACACATTGAACCCAGCCTTTAAGGTTACTTTTAAGTAAATACAGCAAACCCACTTCCTGGGAGCCTAAACCATATTTTTACAGGCTCTAAAGAAGAGGGATTGTTTTGGGAGTTGGCATCTTCAGAGCAGCCTGCAAGAAGTACCAGAGGTCACTCAAATGCTTTAGGCATGAAAATATGGACAGGTCCATACCCATCATCACAACTGAGAGCAAGAAGAGAAATTCACACAACTTGTGTGAATCTGAAGAGCCCAAATCAAGCCACTAGTGCAAAGAGTAAAGGGGGGAGAGAATCATGTTGAACAAATGGACAAGTCACGATGGTTGTACATTAGCTTCCAGATTGACTGTTCAAAATTAGAAAGCCTAGTGGGCTACGTAAAGTAGGAGACAAGAAGCAAAAATTGTGGCTCAAGAGATTAAATATCACCAAAAATACTTCAGAGAGAAAAATCTTTCTTTTCACTTTGCATAAAGATCTTCCTGGAATCAAGTACGCAGAGTCCCCTCCCAACCCACTGCTGCTTTCCTGATGTCATTGCATTGCCCTGAACAAACCTGCATCTGCTCCTGGTAGTGGTCAGTGAGTAACTCCTTCAGGATGGCCATTTTACCCTCATACAGTTCCTCCAGCTGCTCTCTCTGAGCATCCACGTGCTGGCTGCAAAGAGAACAACCAATTCCACGTCAGGATCTGGCAGCTCTGGGTGCTGCAGCTCATCCTGAGCAGAGGGAGGGAGACCAGCACAGGCTGTACCTCCACCACTGCTCCTTCTGTTGCATGTGCTCCAGCATCTCGTTGCAGATCTCCTCGCGCAGGCGCATCTCCAGCTGCAGCTTCTTCTGCCGCTCCTGCACCAGCAGCTCCCGTGCAGCCTCGACCGCGCGCAGCAGGTCCTGCAAGAGGGACACAGCTCTGCTGCCCACCCTGCACAGCAGGGCTGACACCTGGAGTATACTAAGTGATGCCATGGCTGCAGGGGGCAGTGATCCAGATGTAAGGGTTTGGTCACTTGGAAAGAAAAGTTGCCAGGGTTTGCTACCTTGGCACATGACAGCTTGGGTCTCTGTAGGGATATGATGACTTCATCTTGAGCTTTCAGCTATCCCCACTGCCTGCTTTATCTAGGAAGTTTGATTATTTTTTCCCCATTAAGATTCCTGTTCTGCATGTTTTCTAGAAGGAGTTACAGGTCTGCACCTGCACTATTAGTGCCACTGTTCCACAGATGACAAAATGCTTTCAAATTCAGCATTGGCGTCAGATTTAGACCAACTGCACAATGTTTTTGTCAAGGATTCCAAATTTCCTGGGTCCTCTATCCTTCTGAGGTTCTGTGTCATCTCTCTTGGCTCTCTCTGAGCTCCAATCCCAGCTCCCTAGGCCAAAGCTAGCAGTCATGTTCTTGACCTTGCATCCACATAAAGTCTGTAAAAAAATCACAACCCACCTTCTTCTCATACATAGAGACATCTCCCTCATCCTCAGTGTCTTCTTCTGATTCCACATCTTCCTCTGGCTCTGCCTCTGGACCCTGGCTGATTCGCCTGCTGTGTTCTTTGATGATGGATTTTAAGGATGGGAGTCCCATCTTTGTGGGAGGTGCCTGAACAAGCTGAAGGGGAAAGACCACCATTGTCAATCTGCAAAGCCTGTAAGTTGTGTAGTCTTTAAACACAGCCAGCCCCTCTCTGCAACCTCTCAGCCATTTCAGTTTAGCAAATCTGGAAATACTCTGGAGGTAATAACTGTGGGGGCATAGAATATAAGAAAATAAAGATAGTGCAGAAAGTAATCTCACCCCTAAGGAGTTGCAGCTGGGCCAATTACCAAAGATTAGGAACAGGCCTGACTTTAACAGCTGTGACCAATGAGAATAAGAGTGCTATAAAAGAGTGGGTTGGCTGGTTGAGAGGGAACAGGAGTCAGTTGGCTGCTTTGTGAGGAAGAAAGAGTCAGCGATCTGAAGAGCTGCTCACAAGAAAACACAAAGAAGCTACAGAACTTTAGTGATAAGGAGACAACAGTATGGAACTTTTGCAATATGATGACAACAAATAACCACTGGGGAAGCATAAGGATGACATACAAGCATGCCCCCTTCTCCTTGTGTTGGGAAGGGGTCAAGTCCCACAGAAGCAGGAGAAACCCAAGCTGCCCTGACCATGCCACGATCCTGGTGTGTGTTACTCACCTGGCTGGCAATGGCTGAGAACTTGGCTACGTACAGGGTCTCATCATAGGTGGAAGCACACTGGTTGATGTTGACGATCATGCAGGAGCGCCCGCGCCCCGTGAAGAAGCCCTGGAACACGCGGGTCAGTTTGCTGTCCCGGAACGGAACCACCGCCTGCTTTGTCCTGTGCCAGAGACAGCAGTGAGCTGGGAAAGCAAAAAAAAAAACCCCACACCCTCCCTCTGGAGGTGTGGAGGCTCACCTGGCCTGCTGGTTCTGGCGGAGGGCGGCGATGCAGCGGCCCAGGGTGTGCAGGGAGGTGTTGATGTTGTTGGCTTCCTTCATTCGCTCCCCGCTTCTCTGGTCCTTGCAGCGCTCGGAGCCCGCCAGGTCACACAGGGACAGCCTGAGGGAAACAGTGACACTCACATCACTTACAGGGTTTGGCTTGCCATAGCAGGTTTACCCTTCAGGCACCCTGCAGTCACTGTCCCAGCTTCCCCATAAGGGCACAGACCATTCTTTTGGGGTGCCTGGGCTGTTGATGGATGGAAGGGCCTGCCTTAAGTGTAGCTGTTACACAAAGCAACAGCAAAATGAGCTTTGAAGTGTCAGCTTCAGACATACTTCGCCAGTCCTCAGAACAGCCACTTTCCAGAAAAATATATCCCAGGAGGAGCCACCAGCAGCACTCAAATCAGCCCTGCTGCAAGGGTAAGGATGCTCACATTCACCTTCACTCAAAAAGCCTGAGAACTACTTCAAGTTGTATCCTGCAGTACTCCTCAAACTCTTGTCAGTTCCAAGATAACATTGGGAGCATTTATTCCTTCCAAGATACTTCCCATACCCCAGGCCCTCAACCAAAGAGACAAAGTTGAGATTACACCCAAATCCTAAAAAACATGAAACTTACTCGCTGATTTTGGGAACAACTTCACTGCTACCTCTTTGCAAGTGCAGAATCCGAATGGAGAACACACTGTGACTGTAAAGAAACATGCAAATATTTTTTTTTAAAAAGTGAACTTTAAAAGCCCCTCAGAATTGTATTTCTGCCTAAACAATCCCTCTCCCTTCAGACCTGCGGCTGGAGTTCTGGTTCATGTGGGTGCTTGCAAAACTCTGGTTTTTCCGACCCAGTTTCAGGAGCTTCCAGGCCTCATCAGCATCCCGGACATTGATCCAGTTCAGATCTGGAAGGCAAGCATGCATTGGGCACAGCAGTTGGGAGACTGGCAGAAAACTTATCTCAGCCCCAGCTTCACCATGGCATGTCCTTGACATCAACAAATTTGACAATCCTGTAATCCCGACATCAGAGCTCCCTGTGGGGCTCTCCTGCACATCCCTGCTAAGCCACCCACCCATTCAGTCCCAAAACCTTCCCAGCACGTCACCAAACCCCTGCTGCAGGCAAAAGCCTTCCCAGCAGGTCACCAAACCTCTGCTGGCCTACCTTTCACATAGGGGTTGCCAGTCTGGTCCTCGCAGAGCCGCAGCGTTTGCCGCTTGCGGTTCTGCCCAGGTAGAGCTGGTTCTAACAAGTCATAGATTAACTCGTTGTAGATCTCAAAGAAAGAAACCCAGATGGAGAACTGCACATCTCCTGTGCTGGGGAGTGAAATGCCATCCAAGTCAGCCCAGCAAGGGCCCAGTTCTGAGGAAAAGAAGGAAGGAAAATCATGTGTACAGCTTTTTGTGGGTCCAACCAGAATGGTTTAGCTCTAGAACAAGATACTTCCTTCAGCAAGCAAAATCACCCCATACACAAACCTTTTTATTTACTTCCTCCCATTTGTATCTATTCTAATGCCTGTCTCCAGTGAGATAGCCTAAAGTTTCCTTTAACAGTATCATCTGCTCTGTGTAAGGACTTTTATATACTCAGTTTTGATTGCAGAATTACAAGATAATTCAGACATGAAATCTTTCCAGCATAACTGAAGTTTTAGTCCTTGTTACCTCAATCCCTCTTTGCTTCTGGATACCTAAGAAGCTGGTAGTTCCTGAGTTTGATAAAGCACAATTGCTTAGTGCAGCCTGTCACTTTGGCATCCTGCTTCCCAGTAATCCCCATCTCACAGCAATCAGCTGCTCAATAACCACATGCCTTGAGTGAAGTGAACGTCAAGCAATTTTTCACTCCACAAAATTTGGTTATTATGGAGTGGTGAATTCTTCTGATATTGGCAAAATACATGCACAGAGTTCTTCTGATGTGGCATCTTTCAAAGGGAAAATCTGAAGCTACAGCACCTTTGCTCCCTTACCCACAAGACAGCATCCAAACAGCCACCACCCTTTTCCTCCCCCATCCTCCAGCAGAAAGAAGCAGGTAGTACACTAGTACACAACAGGCTTCCAGAAATACCTTCTGTCTGGCTGAGGTCTGAGCGGCTGGTGAGCTGGCTGGATGAAGACAGACCAGCAACTCCACTGTCAAAACTGCCACTGGTGGTGGCCTGGAGCTGAGATTCAGCACTGTGACTCCTCTTCAGCGGCGTCAGCAGCTCCTCCTTGAAGGAAACAGGGACCAGGAGCATGCAGGTGGTGTGACACCAGCCCTTTCCTCTTGCTACTGAGCCCCCAGAGGCCAGTGCTTACCTCCCAGAGACCCCTCTGCAGCATCATCTGCTTCTTGGTCTCCTCCTGGCGCACCTGCCTGCTGTCCAGCCGGGTCACCTCGTTGGAGAGGGCAGGCTTCAGGTCCATGGCCTGGTACAGCCGCTCCCCCACGCTGTTGAAGATGGTTGCCAAGGAGCGAGGCAGAATCCCCCCATCTTGGGCAGTGCCTGCAGCAAGAACAGCAGCAAAGCTGAGGATTCAGAGGCAGAAGACAGAAAACAATTCCTTCAACGGGCCCCCTGCTGCTTTCCTTACCCTGAATGGTGTGAGTCTTCCCTGAATTGGTGATGCCATAGGTGTAAACCAGACAGTTCTGCCCACTCAGCACATCCTTTACCACCTGCTTCATTGTCTCATCAAAGAAAAATTTCTGCCCCACCTCTGGTCCAAAAATCTGCAAACAAGACACAGGAAAATTGGCTTCATGTAGATCTTTCCTATCCTTTGCTGATGGCTGCTGAAGTGATATTACACAGTCCTTTGTTCCCTGCACTAGCCATGGGCAAGAGACCCACCAGCAACTCCAGCTGAACTCCCTACAAAAACAAGCTGCTCATTTGTTTAATCCAATAACAGCTCATATCACTGCAGCCCCTCGTCTGTTTACAGCCTCGTGAACAGGAGTTTGCCATTTGCTGCCAAAAGAGTTGTCAGAAACAACTTAAAATAAAAAAAAAAAACTAATAAAACAGCAACTAAAACCTGAAGTAACCCGATTGCACGAGACTCAGAGTTCAGGCAGTGCCCTGGGGTCAGTGGATGTGAATAAGGCTGCTTTTCAAGCTGCAGGGCTGGTTTAAGCTCAAATCACTTCCAGATGGGTTGTTTGTCCCAGCCACCTACCCGGGTGAAGGAGAACCTGTGCACTGCTTGTCCCACTCCTCGCTCCGTGCTCCGCATGGTGAAGGAATTCTTTGGAGCTTTTAGAATAAGGGTCTCTGAGTTCTCAATGCAGACACAGCCCTAAAGAACACATAAAATCCATCATTGCAGTGCCTTACAGGAGGATAGACAGCATCTCCCAGCAGGCACACAGCCAGCTCAGACTCTGCTTCACTCAGTGTCTCACCTGGTCTTCTCCCTTTTCTACTTCTGTAGATTTCAGAGGTCGAACTCTGAGGTAAACCTTTAATTTTCCATTATTGTCTTCAGCTACAGCCTGCAAGAATCAGCACAAGTTAAATATGGCAGCCAGAGAGGCAGCACACAACCCCCCATGGGAACACTTAACAGGAACCACAATATGAAACACACATGTTGGCTATGCTGCTAGTGCTGAGGAATTTCTCTGCTCCCAAAATCACCAACACTGCCAGAAGCTTTCTTAGGCATTTCCAAGCACACCAGCATTTTTGTAATTTGTTTATCTAATGGATCAGACCAACAAGCCAAAGGCCTAACACCAAAACCAAGCATCACCCCAAGAGGCACTTGCTGCCCACTGCTCCCCCCAAATGCAGCATTTTGTGGCTGCCTCTTCTGAAGAGCCTCTGTTATTTCTGCATCACACCACCTCGGTGCAGAGAACAGCAGCCACGAGCGAAACCGCTGCCCTGCTTGTGACAGAAGAGCTCCAGCCTGACCTGGGAGGCCTCGAGGTTGGGGGAGATGGCAGAGAACTCGGGCAGCAGGTCCTTGCGCAGGTCAGCCCCAAAGCCCGCTGCCGTGGACTCGAGCACGGGGGAGGCTGCAGCCTCCTCGTCAGAAAACAGCGCTGGGGAGGCGAGTGCTTGTGCCATGGTGCCTCTCACGGCTCCTGGGGAAAAGGGGCACAGGACAGGGTGAGGTTACAGCAACCCCCTGCGCAGCCATCCCTCCCCACGGGATCCCTCCCTGCACACGCTGCTTGTACATACACACATACACAGCCCCTGCACAGGGGGAACCTCACAGGACCCCGGACACAGCCCGTGCACACACAAACACAGCGCTCCAAACCCCGCTCCGGGACACACGGACACGTACAGGCGACATGCACACAGACACACGGTACCAAACAGACCTAACGCATACACCACCCAGCACACAGCCGAGCCGGCCCCGCACACACACAGCGCCCAGCACCGCGCGGGTCCGGCCGCACGCACCGGGACCCGCGGCCAGCGCCGTCCGCCGCTCTCGCCGCTGCGGCCCCGCTGCCCCTCACGCCGCCCCTCGCTCGGCGTTTCAAACCTCGCCGCCCGCCCGCTCCGCCAATGGGAGCACGGCATGAGCGCCCCTCGGCCAATCAGCGCCCGCTCTTTGGACGGAGTGGGCGGGGCCCCGGTAACCGGCCGCCCGCGCGCGCGCGCACTCGGCGAGGGGGGCGTGGCAGCGCTCGGCCGCCTCCCGGCGGGCTTTGCGCGCGGTGCCGCCCCTGCCGCCCTCCGGGCCGGGCGGGGAAGATGGCGGCGGGGCCGGGGAGTGAGTGCGGGGCTGGGCGGGAAACGCGGCGGGGAGCGAGCGGCGGTGGGGCTGGGGAGGAGAAGGGGCAGGGGAATGGCCCGGGGAGAACGGAGCGGTTCCGGAGGACCCTCCCGGAAAGAGCCAGCGGGGGCGCGGGGCGGGGCCAATGGATCCCGTCAGGGGCGGGGCCGAAGAGTCCGGGAGGGGCGGGGCCATTCTGTGGGCCGCGGGTTCGGGTCCCGCTGTGGCCGGCGCTGCCGCCGCGGGTTCGAGTCCCGCTGTGGCCGGGCGCGGCCCCCGCACACTCCTGCCCTGTCCCGCAGAGCACAAGCTGCTGAGCGCCGGCCCCACCGAGCCCTGGTCCATCCGCGAGAAGCTCTGCCTGGCCTCCTCCGTCATGCGCAGCGGCGACCAGAACTGGTACGGGCGCGGGCAGGGCGGGCGGCGGTGCTGGAGAGGGGGTTTGGACAAGGACGTGGGGTGTCAGGATAGGGGGAATGGCTTCAGACTCAGAGAGGGTTTGGTTGGAAAATGGGGAAAAGTTCTTTACTGTGAGGCTGGTGAGGCACTGCAGTGGTTGTCCAGAGAAGCTGTGGCTGCCCATCCCTGGAAGTGTCCATGGGCAGGTTGGACGGGGCTGGGAGCAGCCTGGGATGGGGGAAGATGTCCCTGCCCATGGCAGGGGGTTGATCTTTAAGGTCCTTCCCGACCCATTCTATGATTTTGTGTTCATAATTAGATGAGGTGAGTTGTGGACTACAGAGATTTTTGGTAACAGATTAGGGCTGGGAGCAGCCTGGGATGGGGGAAGATGTCCCTGCCCATGGCAGGGGGTTGGAGCAAGATGATCTTTAAGGTCCTTCCCAACCTGTTCTATGATTCTGTGTTCATAATTAGACGAGGTGAGTTGTGAACAGAGATTTTTGGTAACAGATTCCTGAGCCTATAGCTCTGTTTTACTGTATTTTTCTGCTTCCTAAAGTAATGGTTTTGTGGAAATGTAATCACATAACCAGATGCAAGAAACTTGCTTTTCAAAGCAAAGGAGTAAAATTACTGTTCATTAGAAGCAGGTAGATATTTTTGTGACTTGGAGAACTCCTTGGTGAGTTTATCATGTTTAGCAGGGTTATTCAATAATGCAAAGAGAGGTTTTCATCTTTTGTTTGGGGGAGAAGGTAACCTGATGGTGACTTGCCATTTCCCTCCCACAGGGTCTCAGTCAGCAGAGCCATCAAACCTTTTGCAGAGCCAGGACGCCCACCTGACTGGTTTTCCCAAAAGGTAAGACACTGACACTTGAATCTTGGACACCAAATCTCTGCACAATCAGAAAAGCCATATTGAGGATGAATTTAGGATTAATTGTTCCATGCTTTATCCAGTACACAGTTACTGAGTAAGGCTAATTAAAGAGATCCTTCACCAGGCATGTGGTTGAGCTGTGAAATTCCTTGCCTTGGGAATTTGTGGATGTCCATGTATTTTGGTGTGCCCTGCTGTTTGGGCAAGCTAACCATCCTCTGACTTCCTTTGTTTCTTCTCAGCACTGTGCATCTCAGTACTCAGAGCTCTTGGAGACCACGGAGACCCCGAAGTGAGTACCAAGTCTGACCCCAGCACAGCTACAGCAGCTGAGGGGACTCCCTCTTAACAGTTTTCTTATCAGTGTTGTCACTACAGCTCTGTGATATGGGTTATTTACTGCTCCTAATTCCAGGCATTTTGTCTGGGGACTTAACACAATATTAACTTAAAGATATAAAAGTAATATTTGTGTGCAACTGGTTTGTTTGTAAATGATCTTCAGCACTAGAGTTGCAAAATTAAATGGCTTAGTAGAGTTAGTGAAGAAAAAAATAGATGTTTCTTCCTGGGGAGAAAAGAATTCTCTCTTGAAGTGGAAGGATTATTTTCAGGTTGAGAATTTTTGGTGGACTTGCATCTTTGATCTGTTCCTGAAGACTTTAACACTGCGTGAATTAGCAAAAATTTGCCGATGAGATTGTTTGAACATTGTGCTGTCCAACATAATTAAATGCAATTGGAGGAAGTTGATTTTTTTTTTTTCGCATGAGCATGTCATGAATGACAGAAAGCAGCCATTTATGAAAGAGGAACTGAGTTTTCTTGTGGTTTTTGTCTGAGCTTTTCTTTTCTCTTGTTCTGTAGAAGAAAACGTGGTGAGAAGGGAGAAGTTGTGGAGACAGTGGAAGATGTTATTGTGCGGAAACTGACTGCAGAGCGGGTCGAGGAGCTGAAGAAAATTATTAAAGAAACACAGGAAAAATACAGGTACATAACAGAGGTTTTAAAATGTTGCACACCTGAGAGTCCTGTCCTCAAAAAGTAGTCCAAGTGGGATGGTGACTGGGGTGAAAATGCTGCTTAAGGTGTCCGGTTCAGTGATCAAAATGTAACAAGATTTTATGATTACAGGCAGCTCAAGAAAGATGCAGAGCTGATCCAGGCTGGACACATGGATAACAGACTGGAGGAGCTGTGCAATGAGATTATGATGTGGGTTATTCCATTATTTTTTCTGAGATTGTAGTTTCCTGACACTCTGACCACAGCAGTGGTTTGATGTCTGGAGATAACAGGGTGGGCATCAATAAAACTCATTTTGAAGGGAGAATTAAGGGGAACTGAGACACCCTGTGACATCAGGTTTTTGTTCTGTGTACAGAAAGAAAAAAATGGAAGAGGAGGAGGCAGAAGTGAAGAGGAAGGCTACAGATGCTGCTTATCAGGGTAAGCTGGAAATGAGGTGCCTTCATTTTCCTCAGACGCATGCATAAATTCATAAGAACACTTAGAAAATACTGAAGTCTTGTTAAGACCTGCAGGAGGAATTCCTTGACCCTAGAGTTGGAGAGAGAGGCTATATTCTCTTTCCAGCACTGTATTTGTGACAGGGTAAAAGGCAGAGGCTTCTGGAAAAGGAATAAAATCTTCAGGAAAGGAGTATCCAAGGGAAAGCAGGATTTGTAAGGAGCTCTGTGTTAGAATGTCAGGCTTTCCACACCTTTAGTTTCCCCTGGTCACTGAAGATAAGGGGAAGAAACTTTTATTCTGAATGTTTAGTTCTTCATAACTCTTGGGGCATTGAATTAGATGCTGGGAGGTGGTGAATCCCCAGCTGCTAGAGAAACCCACAGCTGGAGTGCATTACCCAAAGTCACGATGGAGTCACAGAATCTCACTGCAGTTTGTGCTCTCTTGCAGCTCGCCAGGCCATTAAGAACCCGCCTCGGAGGCTCACGGGGGTGATGGTCCGTTCTCCTGCAGGCTCCACCTCCCCGGGCGGGGATTATTCCCTGGGAGACCTGGCCCAGCCCGCCGGGGACGAGGCCAGTCCCGGGGTAAGATCCTGCTCTGGGCAGGAGGGAGAGCCCAGCTTGGGATGTGGGGCTCTGCAGCCAGCACAGAGGAGGGGCTGGGGAGAAGCCCTTGCCTTGCTTTGCAGACTCAGGTGCTGTAGTGTGGTTGTGACAGTGCTGATCAAGATCCATGTCCTCTTCCCTGTCTGTGGTGATCCAGTGCCTGGATCAAAGGCCGTGTAGGGGCATCAGTGGGTTGGCCAGGCAGGCTGTGAGTGCCTGGGAAGTGGCTCTGCAGGGCAGGGAAAGGGTGAAAGCAATGCCTGGAGCAGGGGCAGCGAGTGAATGGAGTAGGTGTCTGTGGTGTGCTGGATCAATGCTCTTGGGGGAAGCAGCAAGCGGGGCTGGTCCGTGTGGTGGAGTGTGGCTTTGAACAGTGTGGTTTTTCTCTTTCTCAGGTCACGCCAGGGACATTGCCCAGCACCCCAGTTGCCTCCTTCATTGGAATCCCTGACACCCCTCCAGGCTCTGCTCCCCTGGATGCCCCCATGACCCCAGTCACTGATGATTCACCCCAGAAAAAGATGCTAGGACAAAAAGCAACTCCGCCTCCTTCCCCTCTGCTCTCAGAGCTGCTGAAGAAGGGCAGTCTCCTGCCCACAAGCCCCAGGCTGGTATGGAGCTCTCTGCTCATATATGCAAGCACACAAACAATTTGCTCCAGGCTTTCCCACTGAAAAAGGGGAATCTGCAAAGAATTTTTAAAAATGTGCAGTTTTGTGAGAGTCCCAGCAGAAGTGATAATCTGAGAGGTATAAATACCCCTGTGAGCTGCAGAGGTGAGCCCCTTTCCCAGCAGGACTGCAGGGCTCGTGCAGCACGTAGCACTGGCTGTCCCCTCAGTCATAAGGAGTTGGAGTTGCAGGGTTTGCTAGGGGAAAGAGTTCTCCTCAGGGAAGGGAACCTGTCAGTCAGCATCATCCCCATCAGCCTCCGTGGTGTTCCTGGTGATCCCTACACTGGGCTCACAATTCTTTACACCTTGTCAGGAAAGCATGTTTCAGTATTTTTAATGTGTACAGGAGTAGGGAATCCTTGGATGGTATTTATGACCTGTACAGAAGTGCTTCAGTTTTCTCCTAATTGTAGACAGTTACTAGACTCACTGTGATGAGAACCCACTTGTGGTGTTAGTGACCTGGGAAGTCTTAGGAGATGCTGACACTGTTCAGAGCCCAGTCTGAAAGCAGCCATCAGCCTGCTTGTGACACAGATTCCCTGGGTTAGTGCTTGTGTGATGGAGCAGGTGTGTTGCTGTTGACTTTTTTCTTCATAGTAGCCAGATTTAGGGTTTTTTCTATTTGTTAGCTCGGGTAAATGTTCCATGGATTTTGTGTTTGCAGGATGTAACGTAAAGTGGAGCAGGGAAAGGTAATGGCTGTGGAAGGCTGAGTTTTCCTTGTAG